TCTCAAAACCACGTGTGAGAGAAAGAGGGTGGCTCTCATGGAAGCTCCGCATTCCTGCAGGAATAGTTACTCGGGTCTGTGGGACAGAAGGCAGCTGCTGTCCTCTCTGTACTTTCTGTTCTGCTTTCTGTAGGACAGCGTTTCAGTTTTCAGTGCAGTCTTGCAGTATGAACCTTGCCCCGTGTGAGACCTCAGAAGGTACAAAGCTAAAAAAAGCTGCTTCTCCTTTGGCTGACCATGCAAAAGTGCTATTCTTCTGCTACTATGCAAGTAAATAAAACAGCATGAAGGGACAAAGGTTAGAACATTAAAAAGTATATGCCATTAATAGCATTTCTGAACAATTTCAGTCTGTTCTCGGAGGCAGCTGAGGGACCTGATAACAGTTGGAGAGGCATTTGGTGGTCATCAGAAGTTTACACTGATACACACTCCTATGTAGGTATGATTATTTTTGGGGGGGGAGAGGAGTTTATATTATTTGGCAATAACTTTGAAGTATTCATTAAAAAAACCCAAAACAAAACAACTTGGCTCAGCACTGAGAAAAAGCTAATACTGTAGGTTTTTCCTCAAATATTATTTATTTCACTGTTGATAGTTTTGTGATAATTATCTCACTTCCCACTGATAGCTGCTTAATATTTATGCATCACTTCAGAGCTACATTCTTGGTTTCTGACAGAATTTTGCTTTGGGTTCTGCTCTGCTGCAAAATAAATAAAGCCACAGGTTTTTTGTAAGAAGTCGCTAATTTCAAGAACCTCCTTATTTATTTCAATGAAAAGTTCAATGCAACTTTTGAGAAACCTGTCTGCAGGTTTCTAAAGGACAGAAGTGTTCAAAGCCATTTTGATTCCAGATACAATACTATAGTTTTTAACTATGACTGATGCAAAATGACAGTGAAAAGAAAACAATGCAATGATATTTGAGGGTCTCTTACATAACCATTTCTTAACATAAAACCAGAGGTGTTTGTGACTGTGCTGATGCAGAACAGCAGAAATGGAAATCCTGTTTTGTCAGTTCTTTGTAACATGGCATTGTTCCCCCTGGTACATGATTCCCTGCTCTGATTACTCCAGTTCTGAATGACTCAGTTTCTGTATTTCCTTAAAAGATTACTCAGTCTGTTAAATAGGTTCAGGATCATTTTGCCGAGAGCCTGTTTCCGCAGTTTTATCCAATTAATTCTAGTGATTGGCAACAACTCTGAACAACTTTGCTTTTATTGTTTCATTATGTTTGTTTTGATATTTTCAGTGCCATATACAAGCTCTTTATGGACCAGGACTATCCCACATCCAATGGTGATATATTAATTCATTATGTGTGAAGCTAGAACTCATTGGGTCCTTTCTATATAAATGCTGTACTGCATATTTTTATCTATTCTGTTTTTTTCCCCTCTATCACCTTTCAAACAATGTCTTTTCACAGAATTCCAAGAGTCTCAGTGGATACCTGTTCTGGATTGTTTTTTTCCAGTTACTTTACCTACCCTTTTTCTAGGCCAAAATTCTTCTGGGCTTGTTTTTCAATAATTTCATTGCAAAGGCTTATGGACCTATAACATGGTGTTATGCTAATGTGCAAGTAGCATGAGATATAGTCATGATGAGTTAACAGATCTGGGATACCAAGGTGCTGGAGGAAATGGGGTGAATGACTCATTGTTTCACTACTGTCAATAAAGGGTCGTTTAAGGAATTGGTGGAGTGCTGATAGAGTGCCAACTTCTGGATAAGAAATGAAACAAAAGCCTGACCAAAACCTGTTTGTGGTTATTAAAGTTTCCATGGCTCTGTTCCAATACTAACATACAATTTTGAAATCCTGACAAAATTCAAATTGACTTATTTACATTCTGCCCCACTGTATTTCCTATTATTGTATAACACGTTCTTGTTACTTAATTGCTGTGTAATGTCCTGTGATGCTAAGTAGGTGCTGTTGCTGTTTTGTGCTTGGGAGCATTATCTAAGCATAATGTATGTAGTGCCATGTTAATGCATTACCTGTATCTCTAACCTCTGATTCCTTTTAACATCGTTCATATTCATTCAGGGTAATACCACTTTAGAGTTATCTTCTTAAATTTATTTACATTCCTTTTTAGTACTTAGCCACAGGATAAAATTTCCCTCTCAAGTACTCCTGTAACATCATGGTATATGCATACATAGACCTACTAAAAATCCTTAACATTTCTGATAGAAATAAAAGTACAAAGAAAATAGTCACATACAGTCATTTTCCTACTTCTCTGATCTAGGAAAATTTAGCATTCACATCTATGATTTAATCAAACAACCAAAGCAAGATTTTAACTGTAAATAAATTATTAAATTTAGAAAATATTTCATGATTCAGGTCAATCTCTGGTCTTGCTTCTGTCTGCCAGGAAGTTCATCTGAGCAGGACTTGGCATTCTAGGACTCCTTAAGTGGTTCTTAAGTGCTCCTAGTTGGCCCTGCACAGAAAAGGAGACCAGCTGACATCACAATCTGGTTGCTGACCAAACCAAGAGAGAAAACTGTAAGGAAAGATATCCCAAAGTGTATTTGCAATAGCCTTGGGCTAGAGTTAAAAAGATTTAAGAGAAATTGAAGTGTCCAAAGTCAACTATAAATTTAAAAACTCCTCACTCAGTTCTATGTGACAGCCCAGTTCTATTTAGCACTTAAATTCTCCAAGTATCTTTGACTTCAATATACACTGTAAACTCATAATTCTCTTTTTACATACACCAGAACCCAACTAAAGAGCACATGCCTTATCATATGCTATCTGCTATGTAGGTGTCCAAAGGCACTCAAGCTGTATGCACACAGTTTGGCTAAGACTGGCAGTCCTGGAACCCAAGCATAGTGCAAAGTTGGCTGCTTTTCAGTTTGCAGCTTCCCATTTCACAAAGGAATGTGGGATTATATCACCTTCCCAAGACACGGGAAAATCAGCTGTTTGTATATCATGAGCGGGGTTAGAGCTGCATCTTCTAAAGTCTGGGAAAATTGTTACCTAGCGCTTAAACTGCTGGCTGGTGACAACTGAAGCAATACTCTGAGCTCTGTAAGGTACTCGGGTTCTTCTTTCAATCAGATCTGTTTAGACTGTGAGATCTCAGGGTTGGAGCCGCCATCTGTGCTTTTCATTCATCATATGAATTTTACTTCATATTTGAAGTTGAAAGTGGGAGAGGGAAGATGATCAAAATCTGTTGTATAAAAGAAAGTAAAAAAAAAAAAAATCAGATACACCAGGAAGTGGAGAGAAAACTCCCCTTATATTTCACCTTTAATGTTTCCTACCTTTAGTGTAGGGTTTGATAGATGGCTTCAACGTGGTTGTGAATCTCCTTGTTCCTTAATAAAACAATATTCTTAAAAAACTTTCAGGATCAGTGAGTTAGAAAAAATGCTAAAATTCTCTGTTCAGGGCTGAGTTTGACTGAAAAATTCCATTCCTTCTCAGCAAGGTTAACACAGTGAAATCTATACTATGTCTCAATAAACATGTATTTTCTACTTGTGCTTTAAAAAGTAGTATGGTTGAGATAGAATTTTTCAAAGCTAAATAAACATTTGCATAGGGTTTTTTTATGATAAAGACCAGCATGCAGCCATTACAGCGTTGAATGGTCTCCTGTAACACAGTCCATTTTGCTCTCTGTCAGTAAGACTTGCACAGCTTTGCCTTTAAAAATAAAAGAACAGAGGCCGTAATACTTCTAATTCTTCATATCAACAACTGTTCAGAAAAAGATTGTTCCTGAGAAAGTTCCTATTAGCCTGGAATCTCACAAGGGCACTAACCCTTCTATTGCTTATTAATAAACACAGTGCTTAAAGGCTCCAATTCAGTATTAGAATACAGCGATAACAGACATCGTAAATGTGCAAGACAAATCTTCCCTAAGGGACTATAATGCAATATTGTTTAAAAAACCCTAGTAATTTCTAAAAATAACTTTACAGCCATGGCAGACTATTAGTAATTTTGGCCTAGATCCTGCAATGAAAATGCGTGGTGTGAGTCTCCACTGAGTAAGAGAAGGCAAAGAACATGCTCTCACTGTAGAAGTCCATTAAAAATGGAAGTCCCTGTTATAAACTGGATTTTTGTTCACTTTCAGAAAAAAAAACACAGGGTAGCTTGCAGTTGATACTGAAATCCTACCATAAGAGCTACTAAGCACAAAATACCACTGAGAAGGTTCCAAGGCCAGAGCGGCGCAGCGAACAGGCAGAAAAGAAAGAAATCTGCTTGTTGTCCTGGATGATAAACCAGCCTTCGACTACTGGTCAAACCTTTGATTTAGGTCATGTCCACAGCACTATCTGATGTGTCTGAAGGCAGCTAATTGCATGGGCCCTCCCGGGCACCAGTGGTTGCTTTCTGTGGAGCTGGCAGGATGACAGTCCCATCATCTCTTGGTCTACACTGACCTCTGCCCATACCCTGAAACCCCTTTCCCATCACCATAGGTGCGAACATCGCTAAGCACACACATTTCTCGAGAGCGCTAGGAAAGATAGCGATTATCAAAACTCGATTCCCACATATTTTTCCCAGCTCCGATTTTCTAGCCTGTTCTCAGGCTGGTCGCGCCCGCTGCAGCTCGTCCCTGGCGCACCGGTCTGTTTTCCCCCCAGTTACCGGACAACCAACGCGGGCTCAAAGCACCGCGGTTCAGCCAGGTAGCACCCGAGCAGGGAACTCCCCGGGGCTGCCGCTGGGCAGCAGGGGCGGCCCCGGGTCCAGGGGGGGAGCGCACCCGGGTCCAGGGGGGGAGCGCACCCGGTGAGCGGCTGACTGAGGGGGCCGGGGCGCGCATCGGGGTCCGCCCAGCGCCGCGGCTGCACGGGCTGCGGCAGGAAAGGAGCGACGGCTCCGAGGAGGAGGAGGAGGAAGGGGGGGGTCCCTCGGAGCGGAGCCGGCCGCAGCGAGAGGCGGGGCGGGGTTGGGGTGGGCGCAGGAGGCGTGGAGGGGAGAGCGGCGCCCGCGGAGGGGCGCGGAGCTGCTCGGCGCGTGCCATGCGCGGCGCGGAGCGGTGGTGGCGGCAGCTGGCGGGTCGTTGGCTGGCTCAGCATGCGCGGGCTGTGCCGCCGCCTCTTCTGCCTGGTGGCCGCCGTCATGGGGCTGTGCGGGGCCAGCAGGAACTGCCCCGACCTCATCGTGGACCGCTGCCTCTGCGCCGCTGAGCGCGCCAAGGGGCCCGGCCGCCCGGCCCTCCGCATCAAAGTGGTCTGCAGCGGCGGAGACTTGGTGGAAACTTTGCAGCCCGCCGTGCTGCCCAACCGCACCGTGTCCCTGTGAGTACGGCCCGCGGGGCAGTGCGCACCTGGCCCCGGGACGTTCCCGAGGGAGGTGACGGTGTGGGGCGCCCAGGGAAGAGGGGTGCGCGGAGGGACGGGGGCCCCACTGCGCGGCAGCAGGAGCAGGCAGAACCAGTCCGCGCAGATTCTAACCCTGGCCCGGCTTTTAAAAAAGTGAGAGTTGGGTGGGATGTTTCATTTATTTATTTACTTTCTTCTGCACAGTTTGGAAACTTGCTGGCGTTTTGGTCGAGCAGGGGGAGCTGGGCTTTACCCCGATGTAAATTGCATGCTGCTGTGTGTGGTGGTTTGAATGTCAGTGCTAGCAGAACTGATGGAGCTCGCTGATGCACCTTTCTGCCGGCGACGGGATGGGCTCAAACTATCCGGGCAATAAATGTATCATGGTATCGATAATGGCAAACTGCCTTATGGTGTGCTGTCTGATTCTCGTTTCCCCCTTTTCGTCTCTTCTAAATAACGTTTGGAATTTGATGCCTTCTTTTGGTTTTTTTTTGAGCAAGAGTTTGTGTACAAACACTTAAAATGACTGAATCGCCTATATTGTTGAGTTGTCTGGTAATTGAAAATGACTCAGTTTGGTGTTTTGCCTTTTTTTTTTTTTTATCTCCCCAGGAGACTTGGAAATAGGTTGTGGCTAAACTTGAATAAATGGTGTGCATTGTAAGTAAAGTAGTAGAACTTTTTCCAACTGCATCATCAAGTATAGGTGAAAGTAATGGCCCTGTAATGGACCCAAGCGGTAATAGCTCTGTGACATTTACCCTTTACATCATGCACACATCAACAGATCTTTTACTGTTGAATTTAGTTCTGTTGACAATTCCTGCTGTGAACATCTCCACTGTTCACTGCATTTTCTTTAAGTCAACACTTTTGGGAGACAAGTGGTAAAGATAGTAATTTATAACATCTGGGGAGCTTGTGCTTGTAAATGTACAGATGTGCTGCGTAGGCTTCGGTTCAGTTTTAGCTATAACTGTTGAGTGACCTGATGCTGGTTAGCTGTATGCCAGTTATTCATTCGGGGAACTTTTGCTTGTTAGTACCCGAGGTAGAAAAGCTACACTTCCTGCCAAATTTTAATAGGCTGGTTTAGAATGAAATTATTACATCAGCGTAACTTTTGACTTAGGTGATAAGTTCAGTGCTACTTCTGTAGTTTATATAACTGGCTGTGTAGTTAGGGTTTGTACTCCACCAGAAATAAAAAATGTCAGCATCTTGGGCAGGCAGAACCTTTTTTTTCCCATTGCTTAAGGAGCTGTAGAAACTGACACTCAGCATGTCTGCAAAGGTTTTTCTTCCTAAGCATTGATTTACAGAGTTTTATTTAGACTTTTTTTCTTAAGAAACTTTTAACAAGCTAAACACCAGTAGATGAATCCAGCTGAGCATAAGATCAACAGAAGTATGTATTCAATGTAATGAAAAGAAATTGAATTGGAAACAGAAGTGAGAAAAGATGAACGGGGGAGGTGGTGCATTTGAAGTGGTAGGTGGAAGGATTTGCTCACTTATACATATGATTTAAGATAGTATCACTCTAAATGTGTGCATTTCAGGTAACATTTGCTCATACTCATTAGAAAGACACTTCGGTTGTCTGGTTTTTTTTTTAACTTTAATTATAAACAGCCATTGATCCGAGAGCTGATTAGCTGTCCTTAATTGATATAAAACATCACAAATCATTGCTTGTTGTTGAATTTCACATGGATGAGTACGGTACCATGTATCTCCTAAATTTACCCCTTCCCTCTTACAGTCTGTTTTTTTCCATTTTTTTCCTTCTCAGTAAGTAAATGTAAGGATAAATCTTGAAGATAAAAAGGAAAAAAGTTTAAAATCTGTGTTAGAGACATAATAATTTTCAGTAGCTGGAACATACAGATGACAATTTGATTGAATGTGTCAGAGATTGTCCAGGAGAAACTGTTTCTTAATTAAATCACACTTGTGAGATTTGGCCAGCTGCAGGAAATAATGATAAAAAGCTCAAACACTGGTGCTCTTACATTTGTTTTTGTAGCTGCATGGAAGGCTTGGGCAAAAGAGAATATTCTAGTAGTCACTGCTGCTTCCATTCAGTTTTATTGGCCCATAGAGAGAAGGAGAGCTTTAACATATGGAACATAATCTTTTGGATTGCCTTAACAATTAAGGTGAATAAAGGAATTCAGATGCAGTAACACTGTAATGAAACAACATATGAACAACAATGGGAGGTTTTGGGCAGATTAAGTAATCTTCTTATATATATACTTAATATATAGTGATGCTGCTTGCTGAGTGCTTTTTTCTTTTAGAAAGGAAGATTGAAGCCAAATTCTAATAACTGTTCTGCAAAAATGATAGAGTTGCCTCTGCTGTGTCTCTTAAGTTATTAAGAGATGAATCTGTGGATGTGTAACATTTCATTTGCATGCTGGGTAATGTTGCTTATCAGCAAATTTAAGAAATGGTTTGTTAGTTTAATGTTCTGGTTTCTTTTTCCACCTGAGTGACCATGGACCTTGGCTGAGCTTGCCAATTTCGGCTCTTTTGTGGCATATCTGTAGTAAAAGTATTGCTACTGAAAATACTTCTGACACAGTCACACACAGTGACTGCAAACTAGTGTGAAGTCACTGAAGAAATGCTCATTCTTGACAAGTTTGGACCAATTATTTCCAGTTTATGAGGTGAAGTTTTCTTTGGAATCGTATGAACACTGGAGCTTTTCAGTACTGCCTCCCAATAACATACAATATAAATGCTCCCAATAATAGATAAATATACTAGAAATAAAATCAAAATTTAAGCTAATAAAGCAGTTATCCCCTCCTCTTTATATCAAAATACCCAAACCCACAAAATCCCCTTTTCTGGACCCAGTTTCACTGCCTTTATTTAGTATTTTACTGCTTTGGGAATGGGATTCAAATGTTTGATGTAAACCAGAATAAAAATCTTAGCTGTAACTTCATATAGTATTTGCATGTATCCTGTAAAAGGAATCCTAGACCTTATTGATTTGCAACATCATGTATTTCTGTGCCTTGGATATTGGATATTGGGGCAGGGATGGAGTAATGCTCTCTATTCTTTTTTTTCCCCATGAAGAGTACAGCTATTGAATCACTAATTTATGAGATCTGCTCTCCCCACATCACTCTCAGTAGGTGTGGAAATGTTGACCCAAGAAGGAGGAGACATATCCCTTCAGGATAATAGTTTTCTAAGTTTAGAACTTCCAGCTGAATACTTGGGAATTCTTATATTGAATCAGTATTTAACTTTGTTTTGTTTATTGTTAGTTGGTTTTTTTTTTACCAATTGTTTGGGTTGTTAAAGTGTAACTCTAGAGAAAAAAGGTTATTTGCGATTTTCTTTCTCTTCTATGCTAGCAGAAATTTTAGTTGTCAAACTTCTGATTCACTTGTTAATGCTTGGGCTATATGGAATATGATAGTAAAAATTGTGTTGTTGCTTTTTTCAGTGTGGAGGTCCTGCAATTTCAAGTTTCAGAAGTTAGCAGATTGGATATTCTTCTGAGAACCAAATTGTTTGGAGTAAACCAGACAATTTATTTCTGTACTTCTTTTTCTGTCAAGTGGGTTAAAGAAGTTGTAGTTCAATGCATGTCTTGATCTCACTGGGCAGAATATACTTTCAACTCACAAATGACATCAGTTTCTGATAGTAGCATCACGTTTATCTTTTTTTTTCCTCCCTCAGTTCATAAGGAAGTCCAGCATTCATACTGAATGTTGTTATTATTTAGAATTTTACCCATAGACACACCTATAGAAATATGATGTTGCAGCTCACGACAGAAATGAAGAAGATTTAAGGTAGTGTAGTAGCAATTCCATATCATACATGACCCTTCATTTATACATTTCTTCTGACTTTGAATCAGAGGTTGTCTTGAAGTCATCAGATACTTGGTTTCTGAGTGAGGCTACATGACTCCAGTGGTAATCTGTAGCCATAATACTTATGTAGGGGTTTTCATCTTCAAAGCACTTTACAAACAGTAAGTAGTCTTCTGAAAGCAGCATTGCCCCACTTTTCTCTGTCCCAAAGTTACTTTTATGTCACATTCATTTATGTCACGTCTACTGGAACTTATTCAAAGTTATTATATTACTGTATTAGTTTCATGTCCAGTCTTGTCTTTTACACTCCTATATTCAGTTTAGGATATATCGATATGGTTTATTTAATATAAGCGTCTTGCTGTAAAAATAGATCACAAAAAAATGTTCTTTGTGTCCCAAAGAACTTAGAGTTTAAGCTAGCCAAAGCAAACAAAGGAAGAATTGAGGAAAGGATGATCAAAAAGTATTATTCAGTAGTTTTATTTCCGCATGTTAAAACTCACATCTTTTTCTTTATTGATGAGACATCTCACATAACGCTTTTATTTACAAATTAGCAATGCTATTAAAGATTAATTCTCATTATAAAGATTTGCACAGACGTTTTCACCTTGGTTAGCTTCCTGTTTTCACTCAAAGTGGCAGAAAAAAAGAATAAAACCAGGTTTCCTGCTCCATTATTTATGTGTGTATACATATTTATACATGCTTACTTTTTTTTTTTTTTTTGAAATGCCAGTTTTTGTGAAAGGAATGCCTAACCAAAGCAAACTGACACAAAATACACATAAAACTTGGAAGGCCCTTGTCTGCTTGTCAGTAACAGCAAGTATGATGACCACTTCCAAAGCGTGATTCTCTTCGAATGAAACTGACGCATTTGCTGGGATTTTAATACGAGAGGACAGTAAAAAAATTCTGTTAAGGAAAATAAAACTCTCTTTGCAAGTAATGTCCAAAATACAATAAAGGCTGCTTTAGTAGCTACCAGATTAATTTTTTAGGTTATATGAATCATGCTGAAGTTTCTGTCTACTAGTATTATTAAGCCGGAAATGTCATAAGTTAAAACAGTGCCATATATCCCTCTCCTGCTTTTAAGTCCTCAGT